AAGAAATATGATGCCGTCGAAGTCTGTTGCTTCACAGTTGAATTGGGAATTTTTAGTCACAGAATTGGGAAAAATTAACGATTTTTGAAATTGGGAATGATGCCGTTTATCGGTACCAGTTATATAAGGGAAAAAAACGCTGTAAATACCAAAAGAAGTAATTTAGAACAAAAAGGGAGACAACCCTTAGGGAAAAACAGTTTTGGAAAAATTGACCAATACAAATGATGCTTTCACAAATGCATGCCCACCTTTTGTACCAATCAATCCTTTAGATTTTTATGACAATGTCTAATTGAATCCACTATTGAATTCCCCTGCATGATTTTTTGAACTGCTGAAATATAAGGAGACATTATTAGGGGCTTAATACTGGACCTGGTCGCTCAAAAGTTAAGTTTAGCAAACAAAGTTCTAAAAAAAAAATTGATAATTTATAGAACATATTTATATGTTGTGCCCATTTCACCAACAATGGCTTTATTAGTGGTTTTTTTTTTAACAATTTCACCAAATTCCGGGAGGGGGTGTTTTGCATGGCTTATCTTGAGATGTAAGGAACTTTCAAGGTTAACACAAAGTTGTTAGCTGTATATTAGTGTTCTTATTGACTAAAACAAAAATCATGTTTTTTGCAGAGAGGAAAGTACAGATGCGTAAGTTTTTATTGTAGGATCTTTTTAAGTGTATACATGTATAAATAAAAAAAGATAAACTTACTATATTTTTATCTATGGTATCTAATGTCAACATTAATATACCTAGTATGCTTTTCCTAACATTTATACCTTCTTTTTTTTTTATACATATTTTCATTTGAGTTGGCTAATAATACACATATAGTAATGCTTTATTTCTGAGGTGATTGTGGCAATGAAGAATGTTCAATTAACCATCGCAAGAAATACTGAAATAACACAGTCACTTAAAAAAGCTGCGTAGATGTTGCTTTTTAAAACATAATTTTTTAACTGGTAGATCAAAAACTGCTGGGAAAAGCATGATAAATTTGGGAAGGGGATTAATCGGTTTTCCAACCAAATGACCAGTTGGTACATTTATAATTTATATATACATGTTGTGACCACTATTCAATATAGCATTGAAGAAGTAACCTTTGTAGCTGCACCTACTACTACTACCACTACTACGTGAGTCTATGGGTGTTTTTTTTTTGTGCGAGTTTGGAGCTGGTTTTGTTCAAAGAGATTTTTGACATGTAGCAAAGCTCTTAAGAAGGGGCAAGTTTACTGTCTGCGGATTCTTACTTTAGACAGCTATAGTGAATGTTTTATTTTGATGTGTAGATTTTTGTGTAAATATATAAGCTATTGCAATATTGAAGAACAATTTCAATTAACCACTGAATGCACAGGCTGAATTTATTTTTTGGTATAATGACTTGTAATGGGTAAAGTTTTACAATATATGCATAGTACATGTTTTACTAATTAGTTCTAATGTTTCCCTGATGAAAATCATTGATGTTAATGAAATTTCATTAAATTGGAAAAATGAAAAGGTTCATCTAAAGTTGGTATTAAAAAAAGTAATTTCATTTTAGCATTTCATTCAGTTCAATCTCTATTAGATAATAATTTTCAAAAATGCTTACTTCCATGAATAAATCTTAGGTCAGCCATTCTTTTCAAAGGAACAGGAACTTGCTTGCATTGAAATTTGGTTATTAAATGAAGTGTATATATGTATGAGTCTTGCAAAGCATCTGTTAGAAGCTTTAGCTGATACTTTGGGGTACACAAATTGAAATATATGTTTTTTGCTATGCAAATTATGAAATGTTTCAATATTTCTATAACAAGTAAACACAAGTTTATGATGTGGCATTTGATGAGTTTTATAGAAAAAATGGAATATTTGAATAAAAAGTTGATTTAAAATGATTAATTTCTTAATTAAAGGGAAGTCACTCCTAATGAGCAGACTGATCAGTAAGTTATGATTGGTGGATTTCTAGGGAGTAGACAGAGTGATGTCCCTTTAGTGTCCTATAGAAATGTGGTTTTATAGTTGTAGAATTGATGTTTACTGGCACTATTTACCTTTAATTTTAATGATGTGACATACAGTACAGCTCACGAGTTTTCCGCATAAAACACGGGGCACCGTGGACCGAGAACCCACGCTTTAGCGTGGGCCTTGAAAATAGTCGGCACCTTTGAAGTAGCGGTTTCAGCGCTCCGTGTAGCACGGTGTGTCCACGGTGCACCACGGTGTGTCCACAGAGTGTTGCGGTGTGTCTCCACCGTGTCGCACGGAGTTTATGACCAAGAAATCTTACTATTTTTTAAACTCACGAACATGTGTTACAAATTATAGTTTTATTTTAATATCCGATGTCAGCTAGCTTTGCGTGGCTTTTTTTTCCCTTGACGTCATTCCATTTTCCTCGCCTTAAAGTAATAAATAAATCGCCTAGCAGTGTCAAGACTGAATAATCCTATTTTTGCAACTCATTTTCAGATGCTTTTAATGCATCCAAAGTATGTTTTCGTGACAGGAAATCGCTTCAAACTTGAACGCACACAGCCAACTGGTCAGGTAACATGCTTTAGGCTGTTTATGGATTATAGTGAAGTCTGAGTCTATTAAATAAATATATTACGTGAACACATCATTGTATTGCATTGATTATGCAAAAGGTGGTCTATAATAAAGTAGTTTAAATCAAGATCATTTTATATTCGATGATAAAAGTTAAAAAAAAAAAAAGTTAAAACAAATGTTAATTTTTTCTGTTTTATCTTTGTTTCTGTTTTTTTATGTGTATGTAAGGGTGTGTGTGTGTGTGAGTGTAAAACCACTCTGTTGGTAGATTATTTTTTTCAAATTAATTTTTTTTGATACCTCCCCCCTAATTACTTCTGAAATATACAAACACAAATCTGGAAAATATCCATACCCAAAACCAATAATAATTCTTGCGTATGTAATTCCTAGAATCACATATTTAATCTCTTACACTGTTACTGTCCGCATTATTCTTTTGAAATAATGTACATCTTTTAGCTGATTCTCGAATCTGGATTTTCTGGAACCCCACCTGAAAGTGTTATTTTAATTCAAATATATGTAAAACTATGACCTTTTATATAATCATCATTTGTCTAATGCATACTCCTGAAACAAAACTTTGATAGAAATTAATATCAATGTTCTTTCCAATTAGAGTATCGGTAGACGTTCACATGGATCTAGTTTCTTTTCAAATTAAAATGGGGGGGGGGGGGGTACGTGCGAATTAAATGTAGAACGATGAACACGTCCTTATTTATTTTACTTAAGTAGAACACACAATTTATACTGTCGTGTTTAGTTTGTACTCATTTTTATCTGTTTAGGAAAAAAAATTAATAAATTTAATTAAAGTAAACATAATAAATTAACTTAATAAATCGACATTTCATAGCTTTGTTCGGTATCGAAACCAGTATCATGATTTTACAGTAACACTGTGCTTCTTATTCGTCAAAAATTATTCAAGTCGTTTAGCTGGTATCCAGCCGAATTACATAAACAATCAAAATAAAATAGTAAACTTTGTGAAGCACCTGTGTTTAAAAGAAATTGTCTGAGGCGATCCGAGTGTGTACGGTAGCGGGTAAAGAGGACAATAGGTGTCACTGCAGCATTACACAGAAGACCATTCGCCGGATTTCACAGGAAGTTAGTTACGCAACATTACGGCGACAGGTAGACTCTTCTTCAAGACAGACTGAATTTGAGAAATTCAACACCAACACATCCGTAAAATGCAATCTACAAACCTTCAACTTCTTCTTACATTAAATAAATATATTTTTTTAATATACCGACGTAAGAAAAAATTAACTATTAATGAAAAAAGAAGATTGATGTAAAAACCAACCGGGGAAAGGCACAAATTGTTTAAAGATGTAAGCAAAAATAAATATGAGAAGGGATACATTACATCCAAAGTTTTGTAAAAATTACTGATTCCTTATATTTTTTGTCAAGTCGTGATAGTGTGTGTGTGGTGGGACAGTTGAGTGAGGAACTTGTTTGATTATCAAATCAAGTAAAAAATATTTCATAGTTTATTTCCTCAACTTTTTATCAATAATTAAGAATAAAAATCAAACAAAATTTATATGCAGAATATTATGACAGTAAAAAAAAAACAGCTGGAGTTTAAATATATTTTAAACTTTGCCTTGGTCGATATTGATTTTTTGGAGAGAGAGAGAGAGAGAAAAAGAAAGAGAGGAGTGAGCGAAAGAGAGAGATGAATGGTTACTCAACACGGAAGATAATGGGCACCTACAGTTAGCGAATAATCTTACTCTTATGAAAAGGAAAGATGTTAATGAAACATAAATCAAATTAATAATGATTACGGGTATAAATTGATCAAATGGACAAAGAAATTTGCATCATTCACAAAACTTGCACATTTTTATAAAATTCATATTTAAGTACCGGTGTACTATATACTTTTTCGTGTAACGTGTGTGTAAGGGGGGGGGGGGTTATACATGTATGCTAGAGGGTTCGGAATAAATATTTTTGAGCACTGGCTCGACTGACTAATGACTTCCAATTTCACTACTTCGTAAAATAGTTTACCAGACAAGTCCACCCTCTACCTTTTTATTACGTTAACATCATAACACCCCCTACGCCTACCTCCTTTAATGAGATGAAATTTAATTTCAGCACATAAAATTAAATTAATTCCAATTCACCGATAGCTACAGGAGGAAATTGGAAGTTATGAAACATGTTATATTTTTGTTAAAATTGAATCATGATTAAAAAAATACTTTAAAATTAAGTTCAAAAACTAATAAATAGTGATCCAACCCCCTCGGCAAATTGAATGTGAATTTAGAGAGAGAGAGAGAGAGAAGAAAAATATTGGAGAAAAATGGTGCTACTGCTAATATTAGTCTTACCGCTGACCTAGTAAATATAAATATTTTACTTAAGATTACTATAATTGCTATAGTGCATGAATTTTTATTACTAGTCTGATAATTATTTATTAGTCTCGGACTTACAGATATCGAGTACTTATGAACCCTGCGTCATCGATCAACCAACCATTCATTTAGATATAATGTTTTAAGTGACAAAATTAACAAGGCATAGTACAAGTTTAGATATTGAGCACTGCACTGTTCAATAGGGGAACTCCAGTATGAGCAAATGAAACCGGAAATCTTAAACAGGGGTAACAGGGGTAGCGGACAGTATATAGGGAACTTATATATAGTGAGCTAGCTTTTCTGGTGATGCGGTAGAGTCTCCCTCTATTTCAGGCAAGTTAAGCAACGGCAAGCCTGTTTAACCCTTGGATGGGTGACAGCTTCACGTAACATTAATTATATGACTTGTACAGATATGATTAATTAATTTTAATTCTTTAATTGAACCGAGATAGATATATTCAACACATAAATTTAAACTTGATTTACGCATAGTTAATTTCAATTCATATTCTGAATTATTTTAAAGATAATACTAATATTTAGATTAAAAAAATAATTGCCAGGGATTTTTTTTCAAGCATTAAAATAAGACTGTTTTTAAATACAAAGTATAACACATAGTCATTTTCACACCACTGCAACCTCCCCGAGAGCGAAAACAATAGGGACAGTAATTATCAAAAAAGTACATTTCCAAACATGAAAATTCTGCTTTTATTTCTGAAGGGGGGGGGGCTAAACCTACGAAGCAATATTCAATGTCTCCTCTAAGTATATATTTGGGAAAAAAGTGGGGGACCCCCCCCCCCCCCCCCCCCCCCCCCCCGGTTCCGACGCCTATGTCATATTTTCATAATCGACAAAAAAAAAAAACTTGCAACTAATGCATGGTCAAACACTGATTCACAACCAACGAATACTCAGTGAGATATTTTAGTAGTAATGTTTTAATATTTTCCTGCGTAAGGTGTTTATAAAATACATGTATACAGCATAGGTGTCGGGACCTGGGGCTAAGAGTGGGAAGGTCATGGCCAAGAGGAAATAACAGTATTCCTTTTGTGGTCTTAGATTTTTTGCGTTTATTCCTTGTTTATGTGGACTTTTTGTATGTAGATTATGATTATTTACTTCAATGTATTTTTCACATTACTTTTTGGGGAAAACTGCGTAAAATTTGATAATTCCATCGCGACCAAGTAGCAAAGCAGCGTGGCATGTGCATCTACACTCGTCGGACTTCTATAGCATAATACATTTATTTAATATTTGTGAAGATGGGTTGTATAGGGAGTAACGTTGATGAACGGGATATATGGTGGACAATGCCTTTCTACAAGAAGTGTTCAGATCCATGACCGATATATATACCTCAGTTGATTGACAGGTGGAGCACGTGGATGTAAATTAAGAAATTGGAAATTTAATTGTTTCGGGTTTTCAAGGTTAATTTTCACGATTTTGTTATCTGTTCAGAAATCCAGTTTTTACCGGTGAAGTAGTGTTCTACAGAAATCATTTAATAAATCTTGTTAAATTACACGTAAAATCGAACAAAATATGTAAATCGAATTTTCTTGATAGTGATAAATTAATAGTGAAGAATTACAAGTACGTTTAATTACATTAAAAAAATTTACCGGCAGACCGTGTATGTTCTTATCTGTAAATATTAAATAAGCATTATTTTTTCACAATTCAAAAAGAATTGTTTCTACATATCTTGAACTAAGTATCGAAAATACAATCTGTTTATAATCTAAATATTTTTTAAGTTGCTGCAGCATGTATCGTTTACTCATTATTTGGTTTTTTTATGAATGAAAAGCAGTACATGTTGATGTCAATTCGACAACCATTGTGTTTTTATTACACACAGGCCAAAGACACTCGTTTTAAAAAGGTCATTATAAATCTCTACATATTGAAAGAGTTATTGCCACGATAAAATTATTTGAGAAAATTATTTTGAGAACTCTGAAGATTTAATAGCGTTTTCATATTTCAGGCAAACGGACTACTATTTAATCTTGAAAAAAAAATAGGAAACTAAAGGTTTGTTTCATTAAATAGACTTAAAAGCAGAATTGCAACATCGTTACCTATTCCTTCATCTAAAATTTACATGCATGTTTTAACTTCTAAACATTAAAAGCGATATATTTCTAACTTTCTTTAATAGACACGGTGTAACACGGGCACCGACACGGTGCAACACGGAGGGTATAATGGTCGAGCTTCCTGGACACGGAGGGACACGGTGGACTTCTTGTATATTGAGAATATACACACACCGTGGCACACCGTGTACACGGTGTAACACAGAGCATTTCACGCGGTGTTTCTTCCACCGGGCGTTGCGGAAAACTCGTGAGCTGTACTGTAGTTATATACTAGTAAAGAAGACATTTTAAAAAAAGATTGAAGAGGATTTTGTTGTATGAGACTAGTTCAACACTGGTAACATTTTTCTGTGCTGTGGTTTACTCATTAGAGAAATTAGGATACTCAGTATAGAAGCATGATTGAAATTTTACGCTAGTGTGCCAAAAGATTTAGGGGAATGGTTTCAACTGAATAGACCTATTGCATGATCGATAATTGATTTCTGATATTTTGAATATACATGTATTATTATGTATTTAAAAGTTTTATTATTGTAAAATTTCAGAGGCTCAGAGAATGAAGCCCAAAGAGCCATGGAAGTAAGTCTGCACTTCGTATATGTTTTGTAAATTTTTAAGTTACTTGAAACAATCGATCATAAGATATACTTTCTTAAAAGAACATGTCAAGTGAATCATTTAACTTTTTTTTTTCTTGATAGACATTGAGCAGATAATTTTAAGTTACATGCTTGTTTATGATGGACGTGGATCCCTCTTCTGAAATTGTGAATCAGGGCTTAATATAATTGACCCACTGGTCTGGGACCAGTTAATTTTTACTCTGGACTTGTACATTGTAAGGGGATGTACCCAAAACAAAACAAAATTTTCTAGCCCTGTGAAATTTTAAGTCTGTAGATTCGCATATAGTTTAAAGTTTTCTAAGTACCAAGACACCTTTATATTAGGAAGCAGCCAGAAGAAAGGCAGAAAAGGTGGCCCAGGAGATAGCGGAGTTTGAGGAGCAGAGGAAGGAGGAGAGAGAGAAGGAACAGCAGGAGATCCAGGCTCTCAGAGAGAAAAGAGTAAGGAGCACAAGCTTCACTAATACAGAAAACTGAATGTTTCAAACACAAAATTGTCCATTATTATATCAAAAATGTTTATACACTGTTTTATTCTTTATGTAAATCTTTTGTTTTGATTAAAATATGTTGCAGTAGATCTGATATATTGAGAAATTTGAAAAAAAAAATAGTTTTATCCGTATATTAAAAAAAAATGATGGTTCAAGGCCATTTACCATTCCCTAAAATTCATAATTCTTATTTAATTTTCATTTTACACCTGTTCATTATTATGTGCATATTTGTCTTCAGGAACAACGTAGAAGAGAGAGAGAAGAGGAGGAAAAAAGACTGGCTGAGATGAGGATACAAGAAGAGGCCAGGAGGAAGGCCGAGGAGGTGTGTATACTGAGATAAAGGGCTGAGGAGGTGTGTATGGGGGGGGGGCAGATAGGGGAGCAGGAGGTCCATATACAGGGAAAAGAGGGGGAGGGAGGCCTAGAAGTTGTGTATAGGGGATGAACAGACAGGAGCAAACAGAGAAACAGGGATGGGGGGGGGCAGGAGGAAAGCTGAGGAGATGAGTATAGAGGGAGCAGGAGAAATGCAAGAGAGGCCTGTATTCAGGGATAGGAGGGGAGACCAAGGAGGTGTGTATAGGGGTAATAAAGAGATAGAGAGAACAGGAGAAATGGAATGGAGGCCCGTATGCAGGGGGGGGGGGGTAGTAGGTCTGTATACAGTAATAGAGGGGGCAAGAGGAACTCAATGAGGTCTGTATACAGAGATAGATGGACAGGACAGGTCTGTACAGAGAAAAAGGAACAAGGGGAAATGGAGAGGTCTGTAGACCTAGATAGAAGGATGAAGGCAGAGGAGGTTTGTAAAACAGGGATGGGAGTGGAAGGGGGGGGGGCAAATCTTCAGAGCTGAGGACACATTGCTATGAAAAATCAAAGGAATTTAACAGGAAAATGAGGGAAGATGCAACTATGATAAGTACAAGCAAATCCAGGAATTAAGGGTATGGAAGCCTTTTTCATGATAAATAGAATATATGTACATGCAGGGCAGGGAAACAAACTTTGGAAATAAGGGTACAAAAAGAGGTTATGGGAGGGGATAAACTAAGATAAGTGTAATATTATCTGGAGAGAAAATTTCAGAAAGTGTGTACAGTAGTAACACAGAGGAGATCTGTGTAGATGGTAAGGGAGCAAGAAGATTTGTAAAGATTATGGGCACAAGAAAGAGTGCTTTGTTTGGATATTTTTTGTATACTTTTGTCCCCTCTTTTCAAAGTTCATGTATCTGCAACATCTTGAAATGACATCATATTTATTTTACAGGAGGAGAAAAAGAAGAAGAAGCTAGAAGAAGAACAGAAGAGAAAAGAGGAACGCGAGAGGAAACGCCGGGAACAGGAAATCCTGATAAAGAACATGCGTAAACCTAACTTTGTCATCACTAAACACGCTGATGGAGAGCATCAGGGAGAGGTAGGAATCGGGGTCTCTTAACGAGTCATCGGGAATTAACGGACAAGGAATTCTCTCAATTTTCACAAACCATTCAATTATGCTGTCTTACTTTTAAAACTATGTCACATATTCAGTACATTCAAATTTGATTTCAAACTTAAATGTTTATTTTAATTCCCTACATTTGATGGTTTGAAAAACTTTTATTATAATTCATTAGTTGTTCCTCCACTCAGTGCAAACTGCACATAGACAGTTTCATCAAGCAGTGGAGTGATCACCCTGTATTGTTAGCTTAAAGTTGTTAAAATATTTTAAATTGTCCAACTTTCACTTTCTTATAGAAGCAAGAGGTGGGTTGATTTATTAGATTTTTATATCTGATCCCCCTTTTTCAATCCTTGCACTGGAGTTTTCAGCCATGTTTCCCTTCCTCAGTAACCGTTATTGGTTACTGGAGAAAATTGTAGATCATCAAAATACACATGTAGGAATGGAATTGCATGCGGACTGTCTTAAAAGACAAATTAGAAATAGAAAGAATATATTATTAGATTATGATGAAAGTTACCCCTGCAGAGTTTCTAATAATAAGTTTGTCTATTGCTCTCAAATTAACACTAAGTCTTATTAAAATTGCAGTGTTGTTTTATACAGTAAAACACAGTTACAAGGATGTCATTTAGACCTCAGATTTTGCTTCCCTTTGACCAAGTGTCCTTATATATCTATAGAGTCATAGAGAAAAGTCATCCACAGGATTCATTTAAAGTTTTATATAGCATAGTTTCCCTATAAACACTATTATAGGTTCTTTATAACTGAGTTTTACTGTACATGTAGATGTTTAAGATTAAATATTCCAGTTAATAATTAGAACTATTTAAACATAGACAGTGGATTTTCCAATTCATAAGGAGAATACAAATTTGATATATATGGTTTATAATGCTGGAATGTTTATCTTTATCTAGTTAGTCCTTTTTATTATGCGCCCGAATTTTTTCGGGGCGCATATTGTTTTTGTCCTGTCTGTTTGTCTGTTTGTCTCTTTATCTGTTTATCTGTTTATCTGTTTGTCTGTCTGTCTGTTGTCAACTTTAACCTTCGCCAAAACTTTTGAACCGTAGGAGATAGAGACTTCATATTTGGTATGCATACTTGTCTAATAAAGTTCTTTCAAATGACATCAAGGTCAATGACCTTGTGACCTTGACTGTGACCTATATGCTAAAAATAGGTTTTTCAACTGTTTGTCATAACTTTTGAACCATAAGAGATAGAGACTTCATATTTGGTATGTATACTCCACCAATCAAGCTCTTTTATATGTCACCAAGTTCAATGACCTTGTGACCTTGACTGTGACATATGCTAAAAATAGCCTTTTCCACTTTTTGCCATAACTTTTGAACCATAGGAGATAGGGACTTCAAATTTAGTATGCATACTCCACTAATAAAGTTCTTTCAAACAACACCAAGGTCAATGACCATGTGACCTTGACTGTGACCTTTATGCTAAAAATAGTTTTTTCCACTTTTTGCCATAACTTTTGAACCATAGGAGATAGGGACTTTATATTTAGTATGCATACCCCACTAATTAAGTTCTTACAAACAAGACCAAGGTCAATGACCTTGTGACCTTGACTGTGACCTATATAGAAAAAATAGCTTTTTCGAACTTTGTTGACGCTGGGCGCATAGTGTTTCACAAACACATCTTGTTTATTTTATTGTTTTCCCCCCTCAAGATTGAATTGAAAATCCTAAAAATTCAAAATATTTAGAATAATTAACTCTTTCAGCTTTTGCCTTTAATGTTTTATGTTTCAATACCCATGCACATTTCTGGTAATTTTTTGCTGATTAGTTTGGCATGAAAAATATATACTTTTAAAAAAGTAAAATGACTAAAATCTATATTGTAAAAACTTGTGGTTTTCTAATAACATTTTGATTGATTATTATAGAGACCTGATCAAATAACAAACAATGCTTTTGATACCTTTATTGCTGATTAATTTTTTCTTCTCGTAATAACTGACATTTAATGTATATATTTGTATGTATGTAGTTTTTTGCTTCTTCACTCATTTTTTAACCAAAAGAAAAACTAAGGAACTAATTCCATCTTTAGCTTCTGTAGAAGAATAAGTAAATAAAGTGTGACTTTTGTGATATTTTCATCTAGGAAAATGAGGAGGGGGAGGTACAGAAATCTAAGGAGCAGCTGGAAGCTGAGAAGAGGGCGTTCCTGACCCAGAAGGTCAAGCCCCTCCCAGACCTCTCTGGACTGGACGTGGAAAAACTGGCAGAACAAGCCAAGGAGCTTCACAAGGAAATCTTCCGCCTCATGAACGAAAAGTATGACGTGGAGGAGAAATTCAAGAGACAGCAGTATGACGTAAGTCTGGAAAATTACCTGTGGTATCAAACTGAAAGTAGGAAGCTAAAGGAGAAAGTCACATTATATGATTTATACTTGAAATTGGATATATAGCAGAAAATTAACTGAACATACAATATGGTATCATGCTAAAAATGAACATCTTTGAAGAAAGTTACATTATTGCATTATACTAACAATATGCATCCATAGAAGAAAGTAACATTATACTGAAGAGGAAAATAATGTGTTTTACTGAAAAAGAAAGTAACAATATGTTACTGTGTATACTTTAAAAGGCATTTTTAGCATGAAGTCATGCTATTATATTAGAATACAAACTGTAATGTGTATTATTTGAAGACAAATTGATGTGGGAGTTGTCCCCCTTACAATGAGTTATTAATTTTTTTTGAACAGATGATTGAACTTGCAGAGAGAGCACGGCAAATGAGCAAAGGGTAAGATCAATCTGATCCATTTTGTTTATTAATATTATGTCTATACAGCTGTTTTAAGTTTTTTGTTATTATGATATTTTTTTAATATAATTGGAAAAATGACATTTATTTTCTTATTCCCACACCTTCAGAAAAGGAAGAAAAGGAATATCATCTGCACAGGTTGATGAATCGTAAGTGTCTTTTGAAGAATGCAAAGAAAAAGAGAAAAAAGAGCATAAAGCTATTTTCTAAAAAATATACAAATAAACAGAATAATTCAATAATGTAGATCAATATTGTTCATACTTAAATGATAGAATTTTAGAAGTTCCATTTCATTTTAATTTCCTTTGTTACAGCTTTGACAGATTAGCAGACAAATTTACCGGTGCCCCAGTAAGTCTCATTATTTTAATTTATTCATTTTAATATTCAACATTTAACATCTAATGTGGGTTAACAACCAAAATCTTAAAAGAAAATTTGACATGTTCAAAGTATATATGAATGAACAGTTTACCTTAATAAATTTTTACTTTCTAATACTGTATACTGGGTTATTTTTGCCACGTGTTATTTTCGCCCTCTGACACTTGAAAATAATTTTGTCCTGTTTTAAATTCACCCAGTCAGGGTTTTGTTTAAGAAATCATACTGTATTCTTTGAATTGGCCCTGTTTTAAATTCGCCCAAAGAAATATAGGGTCAAAGAGGCAAAAATAAAACGGGGGCGAAATTTTCCCTGTATACAGTATACAGTGTATTTTGTAAACAGGATTGATTAAAACAACCAAAAAGAAAACCAAAAAAGACAGTCCTGGATGGTAAATGTTCTTTGTAAGCTCACCTGAGCCAAAGGTTTTAGTGAGCCTTTTGGATCAAAATTTGTACGTTATTTGTCCCTGTCATCCTCCTTGATGTTGTAAACATCAAATATTCAAAAGATAATCTCAAAAATCCTCCTCAAGAACAAAAAAGACCTGATTTGTCAATCTATGTGAAAGCAGTCCCAATTAGTGCAGATTTTATTTTGTTCAAATCATGACTAGGTAGTCATGGGGTAGGATGGGTCAACAATTAATGATAAATGTTTTACATGAAATATATTGAATTTTATTTAATCTTCTCAAGAACAGAAAAACTATGATTATTAGTCATGTCAATATGACAGCATCCTCAGGTAGTAGAGATTCAATTTGTTCAAATATTGCCCCCCTAGGGCGGGGCCACATCAGGGGATCAAAGTTTTTTATTGAAAAAAAATTGATGATTCGATCAGAACATCAGGACTCTATATACTGTGACGCAAGTTAGGGTTGTGGCCCATGGACCTCTTATATAGAGAACCCAGATCTTGAGTCGAATAATAATTTCACGTTGATTTTTTTTTTCTACCTCAGCCCAAGATCCAGTTGTGCAGCAAGTATGAGCGTCACACAGACCATCGGTCCTACGGACAACGATTACAATTATTTGAAGAAATCAGTAAACCCATCGAACCTTTTGTCCCCGGCCAACATAAAAAAGAGGATGAAGAAGGAGGAGAAGGGGAGGAAGACGCCGGGCAGGAGGAGGGAGGGGAAGAGTAGCTCATAACCCCCCCATGTATCCCGTTAGCCTAGGTATCAACAGGTAAATTACACCCCACACCCTCTCTTGTAGTGTAAATGTTAACCCCATCATGTAAGCTTCAAGTCTAGCCCACCTCCCCTAATGTAAGCTGCTAGCCTAGAACTCAACAATATTCCCACCACCCCAAATTAAGCTTTTAAAACATATTCCATCTAAACAATCACCATCAAACAAATAATTAAAAATACACATTGTATGTAATTTTGTTTTCTTGAAGAATTTTCCTACTTTTTCCTACTTTATATAATATATATCTCTTTTTTTAACTGCAGATTAAGCGATTATTTAAAAGAAGCATTTTAGATGGAAGAAGAGACATCTCCATGACAACATTTCAGCTTAGAACGTTTTGGCAACCATAGGAAGAAATAGCTATTGATAATTTAACTTGATGATGAATAGCTGCCTTAATTCGTTTTTAATCTCTTCATGTCCTAGGCTTTCATTCTTAGCTTTGTAAATTTCGTTTTATTTATAAAAATATTACTTTGCATGATTGTTTCAAAGGATTTCTTTCATTTATATTTAGAAATCCTTTCAAATGATGGTAAAAGACATAAATAGTCTTGATATCGACCATTTCCCAGAAAATAGAATTGTTTTTCTTTGGGAGGAATTGTCTTTGTGGTTGGAGATGTCATCAATAATAAATATTGTAAACAGTCACCATGGTGACAGAGACTGGGGTAAAAGGAGCATTATACTGAGATTTTCTTCCACTGAAAACAGTTCAGGCAATAGATATACTATTGCTTACGTATATATCCAAGACTATGTGTGATACGATAGTCCTATAGACGAAGTAAATAAAGTTGGCCAAATCCTATTCCACGTGTTGTCTGTCTGGGTTATCTCCCTTTGAATGCATTCATTGTGTATACTTACCGAGGAAATTTTCGACCATGTCTCCTCAATTAAGTGCTCATTAACGATTTATTCGACTAAATATACAAAGGGTTTATGTTTTTATACCCCCGCAAACGAAGTTTAGGGGGGTATATTGGAAACACCATGTCCGTCTGTCCGTCTGTCTGTCTGTCTGTAGACAAGATTTTGTCCGGACCGTTTCTCAGAAACTGTTGGATGGATTTGTCTGAAAATTTATACACTTATTATTCACCATATGAAGGTGTGCACCTGGGATTTTCATCATGATTGGATGATTTTTCTGCATTTTACAGGCGTTTTTTCTTTTTTATTTTTTGATTTTGTTTGGCTCATAACTAGAAAACTATTAGACTTACAATCATCAAACTTGGACAATTTATGCATCTTGGGTAGACGGTGTGTCACGACCTATTTCAAGGTCACTGTGACCTTTAATTTAAGTGATTTTTTAAAAAAAACTAAGTCTTTAAAATTTTAAATTTCATAATCCTAAAAAATGTAAAAATATAGTTGTATCCTTATTAAAAAATGCTAAATTAAGTAAAAACTTATTTTTTATCATATACTTTACAGCAAATTCTGTAACAAATGTTAATGATTTGAAAGGAATTCAGTTTGTCCCATGGGCATAATTATCAAGCACTGGTCAAGGAGAATTTTTGATAGCAGAAATGTGCATGTCAAATTAGAGAGAAATTAATGAGTTCATTGTCGGGAGTTAACTGGCAAGAGCATCTCTAGATCTAATCTTAATTTATCTCTTGGGAGTTGGGCAAAAAGAAATGGCCTTATAGTTGCTTGTGTTAATTAAGAGTTCTTGATGGCTGTAGTTCAGATAAAGATCTTTCAATTGGTGTAATTTAATTAAAACAAATTGATGTTTTAGTGTATGATTAAAACTGAATTAGTATTGTATAATATAATTAAAATTTAATTATACATGTGTTCATTGAAAAAAAATTACATTTCAATTTTTATATATTTGCAACAAATTGCAGTCATGTCTCACTTAGAATTTCATAGTCCAAAGAATAATTAATTTTTGATTTTTTTTTATTAGACTGTAGCATTTCCATTATTTCATAAAATATGCAATAAACAATTTAAAGCTGCAGAAGGATATTTGTTAAGCTCTAACACAGCCAGTTTAGAATTATATGATATATTATTTGTTTTAATTAATCCCTACACTGTAAGTCTCTTAGAGATGTATGTACAATATTTTAAACATGATAAGAAATGGAAATTAGATCATTGAAATCTGTGTCAATCTGTTAATCAAGGTTACTTAATTTTCTTTCACCCTAACCAATTTATGATTATCGAACAATATTTGATGGGCGTATCATGCTGTGGCAAGGCACTTTATTAGACAATAGTGAATACCTCTTACTAGATCCATAAAATATTTCTGAATTGGCACCTACTCTGAAAAACCCAGCGGGGGTATTTGTCCCTATTGGACAGTTCTAGTTTTTAAAGGGGGGGGGGGGGGGGTTAGAGAGAGTGATTGAATTAAAAATAAATTGTTTACATTCGTCTTTGTACCCAAAACAGATATAAGAAAGGGTGCTTTCTATATTGAACGTTATCCATTGAAATGCATTAATTCAAGATTGGAAAAAATCACATTTTACAAATATAAACAAAAAGAGAGATAATTTATTGAGTTATTTGCAAAAATCCACTGAAATTTTTAGCTCACCCAAACAAATGTGAACATAGCATGTGCTATGATCTCAATATTGGCTTCAAGGGAATATTTTCTTCAAAGGCATAAATCCTCCTTGGACAAAACTTCTATATTTTATGCGTCTAATAGATGATCTGTATTTCCAGATAAAAGACCAATGTAAGGTCCATTCTAAATACTGATAAAATGTAGAAATTTTAATTTTTGGGGTGTTTAATGACATTCATATCGACCAAATATGCATATACATGTATGATGAAGCATTTTGGGATGCAAAAAACTGAATAGGAGGTCCATTCCTAAGTACCTGACTTGGGGATGACGCATATATTGAGACATATTTCTAGTTGAAACAGACCCGTCTTAGTAATTGTGCAATGAAAGACAAAATGTTACTTTACTATTATTATGTTCCCCAAACGAAGTTGGGGAACATATTGTTTTTACTCTGTTTCTTATTATTATTAAGGTCTTCCGTTTCCAACGGAAGACCTTATTGTTTTCGTTCGGTTTCTTTTTCCCTATTATTAAGGTCTTCCGTCTTCAGCGGAAGACCTTACTGTTATTCTTAGGTTTCTTTTCCACTATTTTTATTATTATTATTATTATTATTATTGTTTTTTTTCTTACCGATTTTGTGCACGCGAGTTCTCGAAAACGGCTCGCTCGATTTTCATGAAACTTTCAGGACTGATAGGGCATGGAAAAAACTAGATATATATTTTTTTGTTTTGATGACGTCACTTCCGGTTTTGAGATTTCCGCGTTTTAGTGATTTTCAGAGGGTCACTTTGTCCGGCAGTTTTCTCAAAAACCACTTCACACAGGAGCATGAAATTTTTAGTGATGCTAGAGCAACCTTTGGAGAAGTGAATTTCGTATATCACAACCACCGGAAGTACGAAGTGCCGACGCTCGCTATGGCCCGAAAATAGTCCTATCAAGAATTTCAAAAATTTTAACGCATTTTCTACGATAACTTTTTACCTAGAAATATTTTGTTAAAGCATGTAGAACAAAAGAAGTGTAGAATTCAAAGATCTTTCAAATGACATCTCGAAAAAAGGGCTGGCCTTTAAAATTAAGGGCCTAGAGGGGCCGAAAGTTTTTCCTTTTTATCTCAAAAACTATTGAGAATTTGTAACGCGTCAAAGAAGCAAAGTTGTTCAAAATATCAAGTTAAATCTATTGAAGTCGTCAAAATATGTCCGGCGTCGTCACTTCCGGCCAAACCGGAAGTAGTCGAAAAACTCGTATATTTGCCGTTCTTGACAAGTTTTTGGGTTACATTTGTCCCTGGGAGCATAAAAAGTAATTTTTCCGTCCGTCGTCGTCGTCACTTCCGGTCAAACCGGAAGTAGCAAAAAAATGGCTTATTATGAAGGTTTTGATGCAAAATTGAAATTATAAAGTCACTGGAGACTACTTAGCTCATTGCTTTTTTTTTGTTCCGGCACTTCCGGTCAAAACCGGACGGAAGACCTACTCGTTGCTTTGCAACGAGCTTTGCTCTAGTTATTATTATTATTATTTTTTTTTTCTTACCGATTTTTGTGCACGCCAGTTCTCGGAAACGGCTCGGTCGATTTTCACGAAACTTTCAGATCTGATAGATATTGGTCTGAACCTTATTGGAAATTTTTTATATGTACGTCGTCACTTCCGGTCGTGAGATATGGACGATTTACTGATTTTAAGAGGGTCAGCTTGTCCGGGCAATCACTAAAAAACGAATGAAGATATTGACTTGAGATTTTCAGTGAAGGTAGAGGAAGGATTGCTAAATTGCTTTTTTGAGTCTATATCTTTCCAGCGCAGAAGGCGTTGAAGCTCACCTGAGCTCGTTATAAATATTATTTTTCTGACCATCAAATTTTTTGTACGTGATTTCTCGAACGACTACTGGATGGATTTTTATGAAATTTGCAGGAACTATGTGTTGCTATCTGCAGTTATTATATCCTGGAGATTTTTTGAAAATTCCTTTCTGGTGCCAAGTTACGGACAATTTTCTGATTTTAAATTGACATTTTGTTTGCGGATAATCTAAAGAACGGTAAAAGATATCACTGTGAAACTTTCAGGGATTATAGATCGTGATAAGAACTATCCAAGACGCGATCTTTTGTACGTCGTCTCTACTTCCTGTCGTAACGGCATGCAAATAAAAAAAGTCAAATTTTTGAACTTTTTTGTTTTTCAATATTTTTTAATCATATTTCTATGGTTGATAGATACATTTCTCGTTAGGCTGAATATATAATTTGTTTGTAAATTGATGAATTCGAACTCGAGATATTAACATTCAAAAGTCTGAAGCGTGATCTTAATGGCGGCGGTCTCTGTCAATTCCGACATTTCGCAATAGGGGTTTACAGAGGCAGCCGAGCGTTTGCTTGAACGAAAGTAACATAAAGAGCAATGAAATGTGTAGGGATACTTGGATTGTCACGTCGTAGGTTCGTTGCAATTCGGTGTCAAACTACATTTATTATCCAAGGTCTACTTACAAGTCTTCTTTAATTGGTTTTGGTTGTTTCTCAAAGTAGAAATAGAAAAGAATTAATGTGCAAATGAAGTACAATATCTATATCTTTTGTTTTGCATCACGGTAACACCTAGCCTAAATCAATGTTATAATTAATAGTTTCTCAAGAATGTAGTAAGTAAAAAACGTGACCACTGTTTTCTAATGCACACTTGTGTCATATAAAATCAATAGAAAAGACAACTGTCACAATAAGAACATGTTTTATTTTAAAAGATAATTTTTCAAAGACCGTTTAATTGACCTATATAAACATTTTATTTTCTCAATGCAAGTTATTGAACATAATGGAATCTTATTTCTTGACCCTCGTAGGGCGATCGAGGCATTTTTTTTCGGTGAAACATACCACCTTTTTCATGAAAGTGTAAGTAATCGGAATAGTCAACTTTCGTGAGTGAAAATTGAAAAATTAGCCATTCATAGCTGTTTCACTGCTTTAGTGTTATTTGCCTATATACGATTGATTGATTGATTGTATACTGTTTAACGTCCCTCTCCAGAATATTTCACTGACATGGAGACGTCACCATTGCCGGTGAAGGGCTGCAAATTTGGGCCTATGCTCGGCACTCAGGGCCATTGAGCAGGGAGGGATCTTTATCCTGCCACACCTGCTGTGACACGGGGCCTCGGTCTATACCGTCTCATCCGAAGGACCATGAACATTCCAAGAGAAATTCGCTAAGATTCACTC